AAGTCGGAATAGAGGCACATCACCTGGTAGGCCATTATCTGATGAGTTTGACAATCAAAGGTAACTGTGATAGTTTTGTGGATCTGCTATCCTATTAAAGAAGATTGGCAAGTTGATGGGCTATCAAAGGTAACTGTTAGCGTGATAGTTTTTGTGGACTTGCCATCCTACTTGAAGAAGATTGGCAAGTTGATGGACTATCAGAGGTAAATGTTAACGTGATAGTTTTGTGGACCTGCCATCCTATTGAAGAGGATTAGCAGGAGAATTTGAAGGGAATGGACTATCAGAGGTGATCATTAACATGATAGTTTTGGTGGACCCACCATCCTATTAAAGAGGATTGGTGGGGGGATTTGGAGGAAATGAACTATCAGAGGTAATTGTTAACGTGATAGTTTTTGGTGGACCCGACATCCTACTTGAAGAGGATTAGTGGGAGAATTTGGAGAAAATGGACTATCAGAGGTAACAGTTAACGTGATAGTTTTGGTGGACCCGGCATCCTACTTGAAGAGGATTGGTGGGAGAATTTGAAAGAAAACAAACTATCAGAGGTGATCATTAACGTGATAGTTTTGGTGGATCCGCCAAATTGATAGTTTTGGCAGATTTCGTGGTTGACAGAGGTATTCTATTGAACGTGACAACTCAGAAAATTTATTACTTATAATCTAATGGACTACAAATAAACCAACCCCCAGTCTTGAACAAGTGCAGGGGGGAAGGGTAGACGTGACACATTGCCTAGTGAGCCACTGTCTAACGAGTTTGACTATCAGAGGTAATTGTTAACGTGATAGTTGTTAGACCCGCCATCCTACTGGAGAGGATTGGCTTCAGCGGCCGTAGTATCTTCTTCTTCTGACTGAAAAGATTGGGCTTGGTCCGATTGCTCAGGAGAAGATTGGGCTTGGTCTGATTGCTCAGGTTGATCATGCGTACTTTGTTCTTTAGCTTTGATCCTGGCAATAATCTTTTGAGCCTGTTCGCCTTGAGAGATTAGTTGTCTCCAAGAATGGCATTCTGCAACCCTCATTTGTGCTAGAAGGTTGGTCTGCAAATTGTGTCGACAGGTCTTTACTAAGGTAGACTGTGTCATACTTGTCGGGCATCGAAGAGCCATGCTTCGGAACCTCTTGACGAAAGCTTTGACAGACTCCCTCTTCTTTTGCTTAGTGGCAAGAAGGGTATGTATGGAGACTTTTGTATTCTCTTCAAAGAATCTTGACAAGAATAGTCTCTCTAGACCTGCCCACTTTTGGATACATCCCGTAGGTAGTTTTCTAAACCATTCAAAGGCAACTCCCTTGAGGGTGCCAATGAATAATCGAGCCAGTATGTCGTCGTTTGATATCACATTCCCAGTCTGTGACTTGAAATGATAGATATGTTGGTTCGGTGATCCCGTGCCGTCAAAAGTTTGTAGCGTCGGGACTTCAAATTTTAGAGGATAATGGGCTGCATCCCATTTGGCAGGATAGGGTCTGACAACTCCCTCTTTTTGGAGCTCGCTTCTGTTGGCCATGATATTGAGACGGGCTTCTAATTCTTCCATTTTGGCAGATTGGAGATTTTGCTCGTTCTCCGTCTCTCTTCCTTCATCAGAGGAAGATTCTAGGTTGTGGGCTTCTTGGTTAGAAACCGTGTCATCAATCACTTTTTCCTTCCCTTTGCTTGTGTGAGGTCGGGATGAAGACGTTTTTCCTCTCCGGGAGGATTCTTGCCTAGGTGGCGAATCTGTCTTCTGAGATTTAGCCTTGTCTGTGACGAGTTGAGTCAACAGGTCTAGGAGTTCATTGAGGGTCTTCTGCTGTGATTTGAGCATGGCGTCTTGCTCAGCAACCCTCTTTGAAAGATCTTCTGAATGTTCTGCCATGTGGGTGAAGCTCTCATGCCCAATGAAAGAGCTTGATGATTGAGACTCCGCAATGGCTGAGTGTTCATCATCGGAATTAGTTCCTCTGGCTAACCTCCGATAGTTGACAGGGAGAATGGCTCCTGTTCGCGTCCGAGTGCGTTGGTAGACTCCTTCAAACTCGTTAGCGATTTCTCTGACGGTCGGTGAACGACTTGTCTCAGAGTCATTAGAACTAGGACCTGAGGCTTTCCCTCTGCTGATCACATTGATAGTGACCCCAGAATATTCGGTCTCTGGAGACTTCTTCCTGTGAGAACGTCGTCGTTGGTTGGGCAAAGCAACGTTCGTAAATTGGTCAAACACCAACAGTTTGGCCGCATATGAGCAGCATTGACATCCCGAGAAGACCGTAGGAATCAGTCGTTCACATTGGAATGAACGAATGACTTGTTGCATCGGTCTTTCTCGCAATATGAACTCTTTCAAATCTGTTGTAAAGATTCAAGGAGAGTTACTCACTGATCGTGAGCTTTGAATTGGAACCCCCAGCCCATGATTGGACAAGACTGGCTCTTGGTGAACATGGATCTGGTTGAGATGCCTTGAATCCATGGACTTTTGACATCCGCCCCTCAATCTAGTCGCGCTACGCAGAGTATTCGGGGCAGCGCCCCGAAGCTCCACGGTATACACCAGGTTCGGTATTGAATTATTTCGTCAACTGAACGCATGCCTGAGCTTCAGGTTTTGCTGATGAAACGCATATTTGAGAGTTGCGTTTATTTTGTGGAACGCACCCCTGAGGGTTGCGTTCATTTTGTGGAACGCACCCCTGAGGGTTGCGCTCAGTCTTATTCACACAGAGCCTATGTTTGGGCTCATAGACGCGAGACTTGCATTCTGAAACAGAAACGCAGAGCGCATGGTTGCGTTTAGGCTTACGAACGCGAGGCTCGCGTTGGTTGGAGGATCGATTTTCTCGAAGTTGTACTTGTCGTCGAGATCTTCTTCTTCGTCGAGCGGCGTTCTTGTTGGCCTGTTTTAAGGCCTTTGCAGCGATGTCGTCGACAGAGTTGGTTGCCATTATGGGCCTTTCGTGACCCGAGAAACGTCGCTTTGGCACGAACGCAGAGCCTTCAACTTGGTGGACGAGTTTGGCCGAAGCTGAGCCCACTCCTTCGGAGGAGGGGCTTTTCGAGCATTCTTGGTTGAAGGAGAAGGCTTCCTTCGGCATAGGAGCAACAATTGGAGCTTTAGTCCCCTTGGAGACTTTGTGGATCTTGTTTATAGCCTTGGGGCTAAGGGATCCGGATGAGAGAGCCTCCTCAAACTTGGCTTGATCAAACTCAACAATAAGAATTTCGACGGTTGTTCTAGTGAGATGAACATCGGATTGCGCCACCACTTCTTCGTCAGAGAAGCTCTTCCCCAGCAGAGTCGTCATCTTTTGTTTGTGGAAAATTTGTAGTAAAAGAAACGAAGGAAAATTAATTTGTATTCCTTTAATCTCGATTACAATTGGATTTCCTGATTACAAAAGAGAAGAGAATGAATTTGATTCTCCCCTTTGTTTAATTCTGGGTTCTTCACGGTAGCGATGTGATGCCTCCCTCGAATGCTCGCGTCGAGTTTGCTTCTCGTTGACGATCCGACGTCTTATTTCACTGGAACATGGTCTTCTCCTCACGATTTGACGTTGTTGAGAATTCTGAATGAGTTTGAAACTCTATGAAAGAGTTGATTTAATCGAAATCGGTCTATAAGCCAAGGATGAAGAAAGCTCCTGTTGTCGAATGTTGCTGAGGGATGACGTCAATCTCCTCAAAAGCCTGCCTAAGGATCTCTCCTGTCGCTGCCAAGAAGTTCCAACAGACCGAACCCCTGAACTGAATTGATTTTCAGTTATTTATAGAGGATTAAGGGGTGTAACCACCTCCTTAATTTGCTCCTAAGTGGGACTAATGGAATGTAACCGCCCCTTAAATCACTCCTGAGTGGAGTTGTGATCCCCTCAGATCGTGGGAAACAGTTTTGAAACCGTTTAGCTCGTGTTTGAATGAGTCAAACGCAAATCCTGTATTCTAGAATGAAATCTACGTTTGAACGCAGTGTTTACGAGCTGTGTCTGGCGGCGGTTAGAGTTGCATCTGGCAGCGAGTGAAGCTGCGTTTGGTAGCGGTATAGAGTTACGTCTGGCAGCGAGTGAAGCTGCGTTTGGTAGCGGTATAGAGTTGCGTCTGGCAGTGCTTAGAGCTGCGTTGGGTAGCGGTTGGAGCTACGTTGAGCAGCGGTATAGAGCTGCGTTGGGCAGCGGTATGGAGATGCGTTGGGCAGCGGTATAGAGCTGCATTGGGCAACGCTTGGAGCTGCGTTGAGCAGCGGTTGGAGCTGCGTCTGACAGCATTTGGAGCTGCGTTGGGCAGCGGTTGGAGCTGCGTTAAGCAGCGATATAGAGCTGCGTTGGGCAGCGGTATAGAGATGCGTTGGGCAGCGGTATAGAGCTGCGTTGGGCAGCGCTTGGAGCTGCGTTGAGCAGCGGTTGGAGCTACGTTGAGCAGCGGTTGGAGCTGCGTTGATTTGAGCTGCGTTCGTGGCTATGAACGCGGTGCGTCTTGATGCTGGTGTGCGGGGAGGACTTCCGCAGCTTGATTTGAAGAGACCGTCGATTTGTAGTCTCTTTCTGTCAAAGCGTTGCAAAGATCGTCATTTTATAATCTTTGCTTTAGCTCTTTGATATGTGAGAGTCGTCAGATTTTAACTCCCGATGTTGATTATGAAGGCTGTTTGATTAGAGCTTCCATCAGTTATCGTGAAGGTCGTCAGATTGTAACCTTTAGCGATCTACGTGAAAGTCTTCAAATTGTAACCTTCTAGAAGTCGTCAGAGTGTAACTTCCATCATCGGTGTTTTGATGGGGATCAGCTATCTATTATGATTTTTAGACAGTCTACACAAGTCGAACAAACTTAGAACATAAACTTCTATATCAAGAAGTTTTTTTCAGCCTTGGGCTCTCTACAATCTCGTGCCCATGCATGTATTGCACAATATTATCAACTCTTGCATTTTTTTGTCCACCTCTCTAAGACATATTGCTCAGGTATCTTTTTTATCAGTGTAGTTTCTCTGCCTTCTGTCATCACTTTGACACAATGCCTACACAAAACACCTATAGTTTTAAACATCCTACAGCTGCAAGATATTGTAAACTGACCTTCTCTTTTTACTAGCCTCTCCTTAAAGAACTCATCCATAACAACAGTGAAGATATACTTTTCACCATTGGACACACACTTCGTTATGGAAGACTTTAAAGATTCTTCAAACTGAGCTTGAAATACCTTAAATCTGGCTTTAGTATAAACTTCTCGTGCATGTATCAAGATACTTACATCCATTTTGTAGTGAACAATCCGGAACAACAAATCATACTCAGCTTCCAATTCCTTATACCGCTTATCAAATATCATTCTTATAAAGTGAGTAAAAAACTCAGGCAATTGTACGTCTGATTTCAAATACCCCTTCAAACTAGCATTAAAGCTTTCACTCAATTGTGTAGTTTGCATTCCTGTTGACCATGTCCACTTCACATATGCATGCACCCATTTTTTTCTTATTTCAAATGTTGCAGCTACCCAAGTATCATCATGTGCATTGTACTCATCCAGCGTGGACTGCCAAGCACTCAAGAACTCATCCTCTTCCTCAATTTGATAAAGAAATTTGTTGAACACATTGCCTAGGCCTTCCTCATCGTGGTTTCAGAATAAGAAACCAACTTTCTTGACAGCATTTTGCATCAAATGCCATATACAAAGTCGATGGCAAGTACCTGACATATACAAAAAAAAGTCATATACATTAAAAAAAGAATGCCATATACAAAGTCGATGGTAAGAACCTGACATCACATGTAATACATCATTGGCTATCGCTGCATCTTGATCAGTGAAAAAGGTTTGTGGAGGATTCCCACACATTACCTTTAAAAAGATTTCAAACAACCATATAAAGGATGCTGCGGTCTTGTCGTACATTAAGGAAACTCCAAAAATAATAGTCTCTCTATGATGATTTAATCCAACAAACACCGCAAATGGTCGATTTGCTTCATTAAGTTTGTAAGTTGTATTAAAACTTACCACATCACCAAATATACCATAATCCATTATCATTTTAGCATCAACCCAAAAAACATTGGTAATCTGTTCCTCAGTGTCCAACTGCATCTCATAGAAGAACGAAAGATTTTCCAACATTTTCTTTGAAAAATATTCTATCAGATAACCAGCTTCTCCAAATTTTATCTTTTTCTGTCGGACAGTTCGAAGGTAATTCTTTTGGTCTACCTTTGTAAATCCCAGTGACTCTCTACCACATGCTTGCTGACCCATTAATTCAAATGCAGACTTCGGCGAAAGACCTGAATTTGCTATCAAGTCTAAAAAGGCTTCATTTGATGATGTGATTTTTCAATGAGATGACATAAAATGGACAGATTCTTGGCTGATAAGAGGATGTTTATGCTCTTCAGAGAAACGATAAACAGAATTCTTGTCAGTACGTCTGACCAACTTAATCCCCATAATTGCTCCATAATTAGTCATTGTCTCTCTTGGATTTCTCGTCAAATCGTCTCTCTTATCCGCCTTCCGCAAACCTTCCTTACAACAAACAAATGTTCTTGAAGTGAGTACACCTTGTTTATCTGCAGCATAAGCATCTCTTCTAATGCTAAAGTCTTCACTACGTGCATATTCGTTATAAAAGTCAAATGCAGCAATCTCATAATCAAACTCCATAAAAAATTTAGGTTTCAAGTCTTCTTTTGATCGCTCCAAACTACTATTGTTTTCTTCCACAGGCTCTTCCATAATGACTGCAATAGTCAATCATATATCAGAATCACTACACATATTTCTCTACACTAATCAAGTATTCAAATCCAAGTTGTCTCAGCATAAGTTCCTCCCATTCATTAAAACACATATATAATCCAAGTTGTCTAGTTTTGACATACATACAACAAACATAAAGAAACCTTCTTCATTGAATCTCAATCTGGGATTAAAAACTATGAAACTCAATCTTAAATTTAAAAGTAACGAATTACCCAAAAAATGTAGGGATGGCCGTCGAGATGGAGATCTGCTAGAAACCAAAATCTCTCGCCCACCCACCACCAGAATCGTAACTTTCGATGGAGGAGACAGACGGCGGGCTACGGAGGACGGACGCGGAGGACAACGAAGAGAGAGCGCTGGCCGGCGCCGTGACGGAGGAGGCCGTCGCTGGCTGTGACCGGCTAAGAAAGGCGATGAGATTTGAGGGAGAGAGCGCGTGACTGTTTGGGAATGAGAGAGAAACGAGTTTTTGAGAGTGAGAGATTGGGAGAGAATGGGTTGGTAGCTATTAATGGATTAGGAGAGATCTTGGCCGGCGATGTAAAATGAAAGGCCATGATTGGCTTATGAGGAAATATTAGGAAACTCTCACGAGGAGAGAATCCGGATCCTAGAAAATCAATGTGGTCGGCCTGTCCTAGAGAGAACCACAACCCGCTACAAAGCCGAAGGCTCAAAAGACCAGGACATGCTGAGTTGGCAGTGCATATGTAAAGAGGAAATAACAATGTAGCTAGACAAGAATGACAATTGTTCAAATTTATAGAATCTGAACCACTCTGTAATTGTCATGCGTGCAAAAGGTAACATGAATAGTCCATACCGGTGAAGCTAATGTTACTATCCAACTTATCCAAACCACGATGAAAATCTCCAGACAAACTGAAAAGAACTCCAAATATAACTAAAACATTTATTAGACATATAGCTGAATTTTTTGGAGATAGAGGAGTAAGACGCAACTCCTAAGTTCCTAATTAACACATTAGTTCTTCCCCTTTGTTAGTAGTAATCTTAAAGAAAAGATAATAGCTTAAGCATATCTTTTATTATTATTATTATTTCTTTTTGTGTGTGCCTGCATGTGTCTCAGAAGTGCAAATATGCGCCTACACCGTTGGCCAATATCGGTTTCTCAATTATAAATCTTGTAGGTGCATGTTCAAATATTCGAATCCAATTGCTTGATAGTGATAGGACATTAAAAATCATTAAATCTTTTTTTATTACCAAGAAGTTTTAGAATCTTGGATAGTTGGATTAATCCAAATCAAGCTACCAATTAAGTTAATATAATCGCACTTGCCCCATAATCAACTGCTTTTGAGTTTTGACACAACTGCATAGTTGTCGGCAAAGGTTGCTAACTCCCCACGCATACACGGTTTAGATCAAATAGACGGAAGAAGGAAAAGTATACAAAGGATGAGGAAGGAATTAGATCACAGAGCCCGTAATTTTTCTAATTACTAGTTTTTATGCACGTGCAATGCACGTTGTTAAATATTAAAATAATTTATTTTTTATTTTATTACTATAAATAAGTCAGATTCATTTTAATTATTAGATTTACTATAATTTTATTTAAATATTATAAAAAATTTGATGTAATGGATTTTTGTGCTAAATTGGGATCAATATACTTAACTGGGATATCATAATTGATTTTCGCAGAACAAGATATCAGCTGACATAATAATATCTTTAAGCAGAATAGTAAAAGAAAATAAGTTAAATTGATACTACATGTCATATTCTAAACTCTACTAATACCAAGTTATAGTATGGAGTCAATGATGAATAACAATATCCTTATGAACTATAGTTCTAGCAATAAAAAATAACATTTCTTATTATATTGAAAATAGAATTACATGTACTTTTCAACATTATAAACTCATATTTTATAATAAACAATCTCAAAAGCAAACATAAAAAAAGAAATATGATATATATATGAGATCTCAGCCTACATTATTTGATAGACTTAAAATAAAAAAAGCAAAAACTAAAGATTAATGGTAACTATAATATAATTTTATGTGATAAAAGCAATCACATATGCATATAAAAATACTACAAATTTGCATAAAAATTCCTTCTAAAAGTTCCTAATTTTACTCAAAAATTAAGTTATAGTATAAAATGTTCAAAAAATATTATCATTTATTCTTTTTAGTTCATATTTTATTTGAGCCGAGATCAATCTTTCTCCACCTTTATCTTATTATTGGGGGATTCTAGAGTAGCGCCTTTATCATCTACATCAATATTGTGATAACAAGTTAGAGTTGAATTTATTAAAACTAATCTCTTCAAAGAATAAAGTCCAACACCAAAATTAACCTATTTGTCTTCTGCTTCCCCCCCCCCTATTTGTCTTCTGCCCCCTCCCCCCCCCCCCCTCAAAAATCATAACCCTAATCCATGAATTGGGTTTGTTCATAATGAAGAACAAAAGACAATGTCAAGAGACAAAAAAGAAAAAAAAAGAAGGAATTGAATAAGAATCGCTAGGTTTGTACATGATAAAGAGAAAAAGACAATATAAGAGTCCAGAAATATATTAGGATGTACTTGGATCAATTAAATTATATTATTACTCATAATTGATATGTATAAGAGACAAAACGTGTTGACAACCTTAAATTATAAATTAAATTATATTATTACTCATAATTGATATGTATAAGAGACAAAACGTGTTGACAACCTTAAATTATAAAACAAGCTGTATGTGCTTTCTAACATAATTTTTTAATGCAAGCAATCCACATGATTAATTTTAAAAATCTCTTAGTTTTGTGAAAGAGTTTGGGTGTAAATAAGAAATATTAAATTATCTAATCTGATTAAAGTAGGATCATAAGTTAACCTCATACATGAAATTTATTTTAACAAAAACTCATATATAAGTATTATAATTGGCATTGAGATCAAAGATACATGTGATATTCTGTTTAACTTTTATACAAAAAATATCTATTTAAATAATAATATAATAATTAAACTTTGTGATCTAAAAAGAAATCAAACATACAATATAATTAATTACTTTAAAATAATCTAATCTAATTTAATAAGAAGAAAATATATGAAAGTACTGTGAAAGTTGTTGCAATTTTATAATTCATAATTCTTAAACAATCTAATCTATTCTAATAAGAAGAAAATAACAAAGACACATACTTGTTGAAGGAGATAAAAGTATTGTGAAAATTATTGTAATTTCTTGATCTAAAAAAAGATCAAATATATAATATAATTAGTTACTTTAAAATAATCTAATCTAATCTAATAACAAAGGCACATGCTTGTAAAAGGAGATAAAAGTGCTATACAAATTATTGTAATTTCTTAGCTTATATATATTGATATATGATATTGCATGTGAGAGAATAACAATGATAAATAGAGTTCTATTTAAATAATAATAGTATAATTAAAATTTGAAACTAACTATGCAGTACTTTGAACTACTTTAATTTTAGTCAGTGAGAGATCGTCACTTTGTGTGTAATTATTAATCATATAACTTGTGAATAATTGTTTGCAGATTGACATTATTAAATTATGTAGCATGTGAATAATTGTTTACAGTTTGACCATTGATCACATATAAGAGTGAGGGGGTTAATTTGGCATTTAATAAATCGTCTAATTAACCTAAGCATACCGTGAACTATTTGAATTTTAGTCAGTGAGAGATCGCTACGCTGTGTGTAATTATTAATCATATATCATGTGAATAATTGTTCTCAGTTTGACATTATTAATCATGTAGCACGTGAATAATTGTTTGTAATTTGATCATTGATCACATATAAGAACGAGAAGGGTAAATTTAGTATTTAATAAATTATTTAATTTACCTAAGCTGCTCTTTCATTCAGGTTTACATTTCAATTTAAACTATATCCTTATCTTCATACTATGTATATCCAATAAGAATTCGTCAATTTATCAACTTACTCTTAATGGATTAGTATTTAAATTTCAAGGGTATTTTTGTCTACTAAAAATTTTCCCGAACTCGTGTTACTTAATGAATTAGTATTTAAATTTCAAGGGTATTTTTGTCTACTAAAAGATTTTCCCAAACTCGTGCTTTTAAAAAAAGTATATGATTGAATGAATTTATAAAGTCAAGTTGGGTTAAATGTGACGGTAGTCTAGAGTGATTTTAAGCCCTCCAAGAGTTTGTTTGCGGCCGCGGCCACAACGAGGAATGCATGACGTCATCACCGAGGACGATGAGGACGAGTATCCCATCTCTCCACCAGCGAGCCTGGCTGAAGGAGATCAGCGAGGAACGATTCATCGGCGATCGAGTTCTCGCCTACCATGTGACAGCTTTGGTGCTTAAAAAAAAAGAAACATCGGAGCACACCAGCAGCAAATTTAGTAGTCACGTTCCGTGAATTTCTCTCCCTCAGTCGCAGTTTTTCAGATAGACGTTCCACACCCAAAATTATAATTAACTAGAATTT